GAGGCTAAAATATATTGTTACATGTTTTAAAAGTGTAATAATCAAAGCAAAATAATTAGGAGTGGCCGTAAAATATCTTAAAAATTTTGGAAAACTTGCCAAAAAAGCATACTGCTTTAAGAAAAGCACTTGCTGTAATGATCTCTGTTCTAGGTTAACAAAGTGAACAGGGCTATCTGAAACACAACTGAAATGTGTTTGGCACACTTCAAAATTGTGTCATACTTTATTTATACCCCAAATGATCACAGATATACTGAAAACTATCATTCCACAATGAAAAAAGCTGAATTTTTAGTAAATTCTCTTTCTGTTGCACATTTCAGAATGTTTATATGTTAATACAGATAAATTTATTAAAATATGCATATTGATTAACCCTTAATAAACATATAAGAATGTACCTCAAAGTGAGGCTCATAAAAAAACATAACACGCCAAACAAACATATGATTTGCTGATTTGCTTAGGATAAGTTAAAGAAAAAATAAAGACAACTCTTTATTCAATAACAGGAACTATAATAGAGGAATATGGCAAAAGTCATAAAGGTAGCATACAAATGACTGAAAACGAAGAACATACAAACAGAGCTAAAATCCTGTAGCTGTGTACCACCAACCATACTCCATCTCTTCTGTCATGAAAGACAGATACCAGGATCTCCAACTCAGCCCTCAATACATCAGAAAAGAAGTGGAAAAAATGCAAGGGTTAGTGCAGTTGTTTTGCTTCTATTTCAATTAAAGACTTTCAAGATTAGACACTGGAGAAACAGGACTACAGTCACAAATACCTGCTTTTCCATATTCAGAAGCAGCACTGTCATAATCTGGCTTCCATTTTAAAAATCCAGTTTTCAGGCTAGAATGAGAGGAAGACACATTTAACAGAAGTTATCAACCACATTTATAAGTCAGAATCTTGCTTGTAATGACCTTATAGGTCATTAAAAAAAAAAAAAAAGAAAGCCATTAGGCACAAAATCCTCATCTTGCCCACCTCCTCCAAACTTATTCATAATAAATACAACCTCATCTCTTTCCTCCCACCATCACAGATGTAGTTTTCCTCCTTTTGAAATGTCTGTTTAACATCAAAATAGAACAAAGGTTCTCAATACATCCTCCCCAGACCAGCAGGATCAGCACTACCTGGGAACTTGCTAGAAATGTAAATTGTTGACCCCACCCCAGACCTACAGAAACAGAAACTCTGGGGATGGGCACAGCAATCCACGGTTTAACAAGCTCAGAGGTGCATTAAAGCTTGAGAACCTGGGAAGCACAGTATTATTAGCAGTTGGATTCAGAAAACTGAAGCTCAGAGAGGCTAGAGATATAAATGGAGGAGTCATCAGCATATGCCATACCAAGGACATACATAAAATTGTTGCAGGGAACCCTAAGCATTTTCTAATTGTTAAGCCTTTCCCCTTTTCCACTTGAGAAACTGTTTTAGAAACTCTATGCTTGACTGCCTTAACTGCAGATTCTGGCCTCTGTGACTTAGCTTGCTTGCTTCCTGTACCTGCCCTCTGTAAGATAACAGCAGTCTCACATCCCCCAGGGGCCGGATGCAAATTAGGCTCCAGAAGTGACCAATGGACTGTGTCCCATAATCAGCCAATCCAAATTAGCTGGACTGCATCCCTCAATTACATAAGAGGACCTGAATGGGAACTTGGGCAGGAAAAAGGCAGGAATTTAGGCTATATAAGANTTGGAAAACTTGCCAAAAAAGCATACTGCTTTAAGAAAAGCACTTGCTGTAATGATCTCTGTTCTAGGTTAACAAAGTGAACAGGGCTATCTGAAACACAACTGAAATGTGTTTGGCACACTTCAAAATTGTGTCATACTTTATTTATACCCCAAATGATCACAGATATACTGAAAACTATCATTCCACAATGAAAAAAGCTGAATTTTTAGGCCGTACAGCAGACCCCAAATGATCACAGATATGCTGAAAACTATCATCCCACAATGAAAAAAGCTGAATTTTTAGTAAATTCTCTTTCTGTTGCACATTTCAGAATGTTTATATGTTAATACAGATAAATTTATTAAAATATGCATATTGATTAACCCTTAATAAACATATAAGAATGTACCCCTCTGTCAGGTCTCCCTGTGACCTCCAGGCCCTACCTTCAGAGAGCCCCCTCCCTCTTCCCTTCTGGGCCCCCTGGTGCTGCCCAGGCACTGTGGACAACCAATACTGGCTGAGCACACACTGTCCACCAGGCACCCTCACAGGAGTATTGGGGGGAGGCCTCATCCCCACCATATCACCTCCAGGTTCCTCGTTCATTCCCATCACAGGCCACACTGTCCCATCTTAGGGTGAGTTGGGGATAGAACCATCCTATTTGATACTTGAAATTCAAGGCCACACTATTGGAAACAAAAGTCACCCTTAACAGCATGAGATCTGGAGCCAGACTACTTGGGCTCATCTCAGCTCTGCTGTGTGACTTGGGTAAGTTACTGTCCCTCTCAGTGCCTCAGTTTCCTCAACCATATTGTTGCAGAGAACCCTGAGAATTTTCTATTTGTTCAACCTTTCCTTTTTTCCAGTTGAGAAACCACTTTAGAAATTTTACGCTTGGCTTTGGCTCCAGCAACTTAGCTTGCCTGCTCATGTACCCACCTGTGTCCATGTGTTAATGTCTTTAACTGTGGTCCTATGTAACATAATAATGAGGCATGGTAAATATATGCCATCCTGTGTCTCTGACCTTTATTGTGTTACTTGTCCTAGTACTAGTTATAGGACTGGTATCTGCCAAGATTAGACACTGGAGAAACAGGACTACAGTCACAAATACCTGCTTTTCCATATTCAGAAGCAGCACTGTCATAATCTGGCTTCCATTTTAAAAATCCAGTTTTCAGGCTAGAATGAGAGGAAGACACATTTAACAGAAGTTATCAACCACATTTATAAGTCAGAATCTTGCTTGTAATGACCTTATAGGTCATTAAAAAAAAAAAAAAAGAAAGCCATTAGGCACAAAATCCTCATCTTGCCCACCTCCTCCAAACTTATTCATAATAAATACAACCTCATCTCTTTCCTCCCACCATCACAGATGTAGTTTTCCTCCTTTTGAAATGTCTGTTTAACATCAAAATAGAACAAAGGTTCTCAATACATCCTCCCCAGACCAGCAGGATCAGCACTACCTGGGAACTTGCTAGAAATGTAAATTGTTGACCCCACCCCAGACCTACAGAAACAGAAACTCTGGGGATGGGCACAGCAATCCACGGTTTAACAAGCTCAGAGGTGCATTAAAGCTTGAGAACCTGGGAAGCACAGTATTATTAGCAGCTGGATTCAGAAAACTGAAGCTCAGAGAGGCTAGAGATATAAATGGAGGAGTCATCAGCATATGCCATACCAAGGACATACATAAAATTGTTGCAGGGAACCCTAAGCATTTTCTAATTGTTAAGCCTTTCCCCTTTTCCACTTGAGAAACTGTTTTAGAAACTCTATGCTTGACTGCCTTAACTGCAGATTCTGGCCTCTGTGACTTAGCTTGCTTGCTTCCTGTACCTGCCCTCTGTAAGATAACAGCAGTCTCACATCCCCCAGGGGCCGGATGCAAATTAGGCTCCAGAAGTGACCAATGGACTGTGTCCCATAATCAGCCAATCCAAATTAGCTGGACTGCATCCCTCAATTACATAAG